GATTGTGTGCCTGGTGGTAACCTTTGCTTATCTGGGTGATGAGGCGATCTTCTGGTCTTTTGTCTCTAGAGGCGATCTTCTGGTCTTTTGTCTCTAATGAAAGGTTTGAAAGAAAAGAACCAAGCTCAGAGAACCCCAAGGACTCCACAGTTCAACCCTGAGCTACATATATTTACCTCTATTGGTCCACACCGTCTTCTTCACTCCTATGCTGAGACTATCTACTTTTCTTCATGGAATCAAACAATAGCTTGCCTCCAAAGCAGAATCTGAAAATCATTTCAAGCCATGATAAAGGCACTATTTACCATGTTCCGGAAACACTGAAATGTAACCTGAACATGGAAAAGATGGAGAACTGAAACATAGTGGCAAAGGGGATGTCAGTCCTTTGAGGTAGTCCAGATAGGACAGTAAAACCAAGGATACTAACACTACCTTTATTGTAAGGTTACAGTAACACAATCTTGCAAGTCTGAAAGTGCTTCTCTCCTCCCCTGCCTTTACGTTCCAGAGAACTAGGAAGGGTCAATTCTGAGATGTTTTTCCACCCCGATTCTTCCTGTGGACTCAGTCTTCGTTTATTAGACTGTTGTCTAGGCTGTGGCTCTTCCTCCTGTCTCCCAAGGTCACTCCCACATATCATTACAGGGGTGCATGTGAACCTAAGCGATGCACCCTCAGAGGGGTCAAAAAAGGCAAGATGGCAGCCATAGCAGTGTGATTGAAGCACATGCACAAGGGGCGGAGCTTCAATCACACTACTGCAACTGCCATCTTGCCTTTCCTGGCTTCCTTTGGGAACACTATTGTGCCCAGCTTCTGAAAGTGGGAACACTAGGATTGGGCCTCATGTGATAAACAACTTCTTAATAGATTTGGATAATTATTTGGCCTTAAACTGAAACTTGAAATTAACCCAGAATTAATTAAACTTGTATGCTGGCTGATTCTCAATGACTCTAGGAAGATTGAATTGCTATCCATCCACCCAGCCAAAAACTCTACTGACATAAAATTTTCCATCCCCATTGCTGATCCCTATCTCTATCTTATTGCTTCTGTTTCAAGTCCCAGCAATCCTTTGAGACGGTGAGTGACAAAACTTGCCAGATTCCACACACCTTGACGTTGCCCTTGGATGCTACTGGAATAAATGGAAAGTATTGTTTAAATACTGGTGCAGCTAAGGATGAGTCCAATCTGTCTCACTCAAAGACTGGGGACAAGAGGAAGTCAATGTTTTGGGGAGGCAATGTAAGATGCAAGTGGGTTAAAGATGCAAGTGGGATAAAAGTCCCCCACATTATTATAGTGTTGTGCAAAGTTTGTAGGAAATAAATTATTTGAATTGAGGAACTAAATTATTGAAAGTGGTGTGCAAAATTAATAATATATTAGCAATATATATAAAGTCAAGACCGGCTCAAAACACAAGTACAATTTTGTTTTAAAACATTATTCAAAAATGATATTTGGAAAAGATCATCTTAAGGAGGTAAACCAGACTAGAAAACCAATGTTATGAATGCTAATACTACTCTTATTATAAGGTTATAGTAAGAGAATCTTGCAAGTCTGAATATGCTTCCCCCCCCCCCCCCCCATCTTCAAGAGAACCAGGGAGGGTCAAGTCTCAGATGCTACCTCAAATTACATTTCTGCCTCACACTCAAAATTCTTTTATCTGACTGTTGTCTTGGTTGTGGCTGTTCTTCCTGTTCCTCAAGGTTATTCTCACTGCCCATTACATCTTTGGATCTTATTGAAATACTTAAAGCCATGGGAATTGTGCACCCTTCTCTTTTCAGGACATTCCACTATTTTCCACCAGCATGTATGCCATAAAAAAACACAGTTTTACAGTTCTATTCTTTTTAGAGAAGCTGTTATAAAAGACAGGGCGGAGAATCAATCTTTGAACAGGATATGCAAGCTCCACATTTCGATGGACTATAGAACTTAAGACATGCCAGTCATAAATGTTCAATAGTCAACAACTAACCCTTACACTGAAAGTCAATTCCCTGACCCAGAAAACATTGTGAACACGTCATATGGAACTGCATCATCATCAGACAATATTATTAGGGAAAGAAGTATGTGAAACCCCAATCATTTTGTTTGTTTCCTCTTCTTACTATGAATGTTTTTGCCAAAGAGAACACAGGTTACCATTGCATTTAAAATACTTTCTCTTCAGCAGTAGGAAATGTCCATTTATACTTCTGTAGAATGAACACTTCTGTAGAATGAATTTTTTTTCCTTAAGCCTCATCTTATCCATTTGGAATCTCAAATCTCAAATTTTATATTTTTTAAAAATATACCATATGTATGCTGGTGTAATGTTATGGTGCTTAGAAGGGGTCTCCGGGACTGTAAGATTATTTGGATTTGCCTCTCTGGATTTTGAGAGAGAGCTCCAATCTTGGAGCAGGAAATTGAAAATTGAACTATCTTCCTATCTCCTTACCAGCCTCTAAATCTGGTGCAGAAAGGAGGAAAGAAGTGCTGGAAGGAGCATGCTAAAAGTAGCTGTGGGTTGACTGAATCCAAAACCTTTCCTGCATGTTTCAATGTGGTTCAGAACAATCAAGTAATGTATCTGTGTCCTGGAGGTGGAACATATGCTTTTCTTCTCATTGGATTCAGGGGAATGGAATGCCTTTAAAACGGGAAGAAAAAAAGCAAACCATTCTCTCATTTCTTCCATACTAGCAGAAGCCCAGGAGGTATTTAGCATTTTCAGATTCTCCAGTGTGGAAGCTTTCTGAATCATGGGATCACAGAATGCATGGATTGGAAGGATATTTAGGCCATCTAGTCTAACTGCAGGCTCAGTACAGGAATTCAGTAAACCATCCCCATAGGAGGCCCCCCACCCCCCACTTGCAAACTTCTACTGAGGGGCAGTTCAGCCTAGCCAGGCTGTCCCACTGCTTCACAGCTCTTAATGAAGACATTCCTCCTAATATTTAGTCTGAATCTCCAAGTTAAAATTTCACCCTGTTGATCCTTATCCTACCCTCAATTTTAGTAGAGAAGATGCCTCTCCCCTCTTGCATGGGACAATATTGTAGATATTGGTAGGCAGTTATGATCTCTCCCCTCCATCTTCTCTCTTGTAAACTAAACATATCCAGATCCTTTAATCATTTGTCACCCAGATAGCAGAAACTTGTTCCAGCTTTTCCATGCCCCTTTCTAGGTGTGGTTCTCAGAATGGTATGCAGTACAGTACTCCTAGTGCAAAGTACAACTTTTCTTCATGTCTTCCTAGCTTGAGAAAGAAGCTCAAAAAAATATACTTGATCAAAGATGCAGTAATAAAGAAGAAAGTTCTGTTTTAACATGTACAGCTAAAGTCAACTTAAGCCTGTCTTAGTCATGGGCTGGGGACAAATTGAGGGCGATGTCATGGGAGTATGGCCAGAGAAAAAAAATGTTGCCAGGACATGTCTGTGCTATAGGTAGGTGCAAGTAAGGAGAGGTTCTAATTTATGCATGAACCTGGAATTTTAATCAGATTCTAACCCAGAATACTAGATGGGAATAATAGCTGTGGCCCAAGATTGATTGATTGATTGATTCACAGGACTTATATGGCTGCCTATCTCATACAACAACTCTAGGCAGCTCACAACAATCCATAAAACATAGTTAAAAACATATCTTTCCCCCCAGCCGCCAGACCAAACGTCCTCACAGCTCAACCCCCATCTTTGGTCTTCACAGCCCTCTGGAAGGCTAAAAGGGTAGGGGTCCCTCTGATCTCCAGTGGGAGGCTATTCCAAAGGACTGGGGTGGTCACCCAGAAGGCATGCCTCCAAGGTCCCATCAGATGGCAACATTTAAGGGAGGGGACCTGGAGCACACCCACCCTATTTAACCTAGTAGGATGGGCAGATACCCTCAGGGACAGGCGGTCCCTCAAATAACCTTGCCCTGTGCCACATAGGGCTTTAAAGGTGATAACCAGCACATTGAATTACACTAGGAAAGCAGCTGGAAGCCAGTGCAGCTCATGCAGCAGTGGTGTTGCTCTGGTGAACTGTGGGGCACCCAAAACTGAGTGTGCTGCTGCATTCTGGACCAGCTGCAGTTTCCGGATGGTCTTCAAGGGGAGCCCCATATAGACCGCATTGCAGTAATCCAAACAGGAGGTGGCTAAGGCATGGATGACTGTGAGGAAGGCCTCCCAGTCCAGGAAGATAAAATGGTTGTGTGAGAGGAGAAGAGCTGTAGAACTGTATTGTTCAAGGGAAAGTGTCTGCACAGTAGTTTTGCTTATCCATAATAATAATAAAAAACTATTTTGTGAGAAACTAGCTACATATCTAGAATAAAATATATGTTAAGGTTTAAGTTACAAATGTAGAACTGTTTTTTAAAAAATGTTTCCATTCTTAATTAGACCTTGTAGGAGTCAGGATTTACTATTACTGTTGTTGTTGAAATAAAGTTTTAGAAATATACATATGCATATACATATAAAACAACTGATTTAGGGACAGTAAGGGGAAATGTTCAGGTAGTACTATTTAACTCCCCTTATAGAGCCCTCAGTGTTTTAAATACAGATGATATATCTGCAGATAGTGTACTCAAACGATACCCTTTTTTCAGCTTCACTATTCACTATTCACATTTCAAAGTCAAATTCAGACTCATATTTTAAATCTGATTTCCCCTCCTCAACATTAGAAATTTAACTGGAAATATTTTAGACTCATTGGTATCTCTTGATTGTTGTGATTTTTAGAAGCTTCTGCTAGGATTCATTGTGCTCAGTGCAACTGTAAAATACTATATATTGTCGCCTACTATCTACTGAATACTATAGAAAGAAAATTGATTCCCCCTCCTTAAGAAAACAGTGCTATTCTCTCTATTATACATGCCAAGAATTATTCCGCTTTGGCAAGTGCATCAAGATCTCCTTGCAATTAGTTAATATGGAAAATATGAATAAACGTTGTCTCTTCTTGTCCTTGCAGGTTGCTTACCTTCTTAAAGATAAGTTGCAATCAACTGGACCTTTGGACAACAAAGTTCTTTCTGTTGAAGAGGGTAAAATGGGACCACAGTATTTATACAGGGTAATATGAAATACTGACTCTTCCCTTTCTTTGGAACAAATTTGAAAAATGATTGAAGGTGTATGAAGAGGAAATAAATTATCCTGCCATTTTAAAAACAGAATGCAGAGAACAAAAAGCGCGGGGGGGGGGAGTTGATTTATCAAGAAAAAATGGAATTCTGATTTGTTTCTCTTTCCTCATACCAGTTCACATTTCAACCTCCTACCTATAGTCTGAGGCTGACTGGTGAAATAGATAACCTCATAGAGATCACACCAAAAGATGGAGTTCTGATTGTCAATGAGCCTCTAGACTGGGAAAACAAATCAACATATAGATTACAGGTAAACCAAAAATGACATTAAATGTTCTGTTTCTTTCCCCAAACAGTTAAGGCTTCCAAGTTGAAAATGAAAATAATTAAAAGCAAAACAAAACCAGTAACTTTCTTCTGGTCTAATGCTTATGTTTGGATGGAAGGATGGAAGGATGGAAGGAAGGAAGGAAGGAAGGAAGGAAGGAAGGAAGGAAGGAAGGAAGGAAGGA